ATTGCTGTGCTGCTGAAAATATCCCTAAGAGTAGAGACAGATGAAGGACAAACCTGTCATTCTGGTCACCTCCTCTGATGATCCCCTGTGTAAATTACAAATTGTTCTTAATCTGCTCAAATGTCATGTTATCAGCAAGACCTTCTCTGACCTCCCGGTATAAAATTACAATCAGCATCCCTCTTTCAATGCTGCTCTCCTTCAGTTGGCTTTATTTTCCCCACAGCACCTATCATCACACAGCATCATATAGCGTTGTGTATTTATTTGCTTAGTGCATCTCCTCCACCTGGGACAGAAGCGCTACAGGAAGCAAGGGCCATAATTTGTTTAATGCTGTATCCTAGGAGCCAAGACAAGCCCCTTCAATACAATCATATAGTGGGTGATCTCTATGAACTCTCAAATGTATGAAACTTTTGTCTTTCAGGTTTGGGTGAAGCTATGAGGAGATAACATGTTTTGTCAGCCTCCACACAGAACTGCCTGTCCTACTGAGGGCAAGGGGAAGGGTGCTTCTTCCCAAAGGACAAATGAGAGACACAGCTTTCCTATCCTTTATGAATGGACTAATAGAGAGGCGTGAAGTGCCCTCCAAACCAGACATTTTTACAATTCTAAGGATAACATAAGGTGGAGGATATCAAAGTATGCTGTCCATGGCCCTAGTTCTGTGGGATATGAACAGGGGCTACAAAATGTAAGGGGTTGCTTCAGTGAGTGAGAGTGCATATATCTAGTGAAACTAAGCAAGGTTTCCCATTCCAAGATTTCACAGATGTGCATGATGCTCATCAGGGTTTAGAAAAATAATCTCAAGCTGTTTTAAAAAAATTAAAACAATTCATTGGATCTTGGGCATTTTTCTTGACCAGGCAGTACTTCTTCTAAGACAAGGCTGTTATAGATGTACCACCTCTGGCTTGGGTGTAGAACATACCAGGGTGTCTTGCTGGCTCCACTTCTTATGTACTTTAAGTGACTCTGGAAAGTTTCTTAAAACTTCTCTAGGCTTGATTCCCTCTTCTCTGAAGAAGGAATGACAGGGATTGCTAAGAATACATAAAATGCCTAAGTTCAAACTGAATTGTGTGGGGGGGGGTTAAGTAACATCACCTTTATTCCATGAAGGGGTGAATGCCTTTTAGACAAATTTCTTCAGCAATGTTTTTGGGAAGAGTCTGTTATTGTTAATGCATCCCCAGAATCCCTCATCATCCGGATGTGCTTCCTCTTCCTTTAGTCCCAATACCTTTCCCCATCTGATTATCTTTACACACATAGGCTAAAGGTGAACAAATATCATATCCCACCAAGGTTTAATAAATATTTATGACAACTGCTTTTACTGTATACAAGACCAAGTTCCTTTGTCTCCACACTCCTGGCTACAGATGAAGATGCTTCTGTCAAGACAGAGATGGTAGCATCCAAGTTCATGTTTGTGCAGATGGCTGCATGCTGACAGGCTTCAAAGTGATTGTATTTTAAAAGTAAATTTCAAATGAAGGTATGATCTGCGTAAATCTGACCCCTTCCAGTAAAATGTGCATTTACATATATTTGGAATTTATAAATCCTGACAGATTCCACAATATTTATAGCCCTCCATAAAAAGCCTTTGCCAGTTTGCAGAGCTTTGCATTTGGTGCTCTGTATGCTTAAGAGAGTTTAAATAATAATGTATTTGGTGATTTATTCCACCTGGAACAGAAAGTTATCCATCCCTCCCACCCCCTTCCCCGCCCAAGCTCATTTTGAAGGGGATGCCTATAAATAGTGCTGCAGATGCTGGGATCAGGAATAGGGAATTGAAATTTGAGAGAGAAGTACAGCAACATTTCCATTATCACTGATTTCTTGCATATATTTTTAAAACAGTTCTGTTCCTCACATAATATCCCTTCTCTCCTTTCTCCTGCCTCATCTCAATTTTATCTGAGTCTTTCAAACCTGTTGCCAATGTTCAGACTCAATTGCTTTAATGGGAAAGAGGGGAAGAGAGTATTAGCTGACTAGGTAGGAGCAAGCTGCCCCTAGGGAGGCCCAAGCAATTCTTCAATGCCCATCTTGTATTTCACACAAGTCAGCAGGTAACTGAGTGTCTATATCTACAGTGTAAATTAATTACTTGAGATCCATGTCACACTTCCAACAGATGATATGATCAAAAGCTCACAGTTCATGAAAAGAATAAGAAGAGAATTCTCAGTGTAATTCCAAAAGAAAGACTGAAGACAGTATGAGGAGGTAAATTCTTCCAACCAATCATGTTCATAAATGTCTAGAACAGGGTGAGGGAATATGGCGATCCCTCTTATCCAGTTTCATTTTGCAGAGTGCCACCTACTGATGGTCAACTGGGGTCCAAAATATGAGATGGGAAAACCTAGAAATAAGCAATTGGTTTAAGTTTTACCTTGGGCACTGTTGTAAGCAACATGATAAGATCTCTTACTCTTTGACTCCATCCCACTATTTGTGGGTACGAATAGCCCTTTTTCTTTTTATTCTCACTATAGATACTACCCACTCATTAGTCACTGAACAGTAGCTTCAATTCCTCAGAGCAGTAATCCCCAGTATCACAGTGTTCATATTCTACTAGCACCTTATCAAGAACATCTACCTGTATCACCCATTTACATCATTTCATCACATAGACACTATATAGCCTTTACAGTCTCAGAAGGAAGAATATACAAAGGTATTTTGAGATTCACCTCATCTACATAGTTTTTATTATAACATATTGTTCTATTAGGAGTCATTGTTAAGTCCTTATTGTCCAACATGATAAGTATTTTCATAGGTTAAGTAGGTTTAGGCAAACAATAAACATATACTGGGTTTATTGTGACCAGAGGTTTTAAGTATTCCCTGAGGGTCTTGTAATATATCCCCCCAAAATAAGGAGAAATTTACTATTCCTGAATAGTGACCAGGGAAACCAGACCAGAGTCACTTAGTGTAGCAGAAGCAGCATTACAACCTGTGACATGACAAGGAGGTTTATTTCCAGCTTCTTGTTTGAGTGCATTGTAAAGGAAGTAGCATTTGTAAGGAGAATAATAATTAACATCCACAGAGAGCTGCCTATGGGCAGATGCAAAGTCACAAGCACACAAGTGTCTGGTGGGTGTACAGCACCGTCTTCTTGCCTAGAGCTGGCCCTCCCAATCTAAAGACTCCACATCTCCAGTCAACCAAGCATGGAGTGAAAATATGGGGGAGGGAGGTTTGCAGAAGATTGCCAATGGCAAAACCTGACTCTGCCCCATGTAGATCACTGTGTTCATTAGAATAAGTGACATACCAGCAGGCACACTGTTACAACCTCCTGCTGTCTGCAGGTTCTCATTCTGCTGTCAGTGCTCCTCTTTGGATAGCATTCATGAGCTGTACAGTCAAGCCTGGGATGGTTGTCTGTGCACTGCAAACACACAGATTATTCCTTGTCAGTGTTCCCCAAAGAATGTGGTGTAGTAACTATTTACATAACATTTCCATTTAAATCATCTCCAGATGATTTGAAGTACATGGAGGTTATATGCAAATGTTATGCCATTTAAAATTAGAAAGATTTGGGTATCCATGGGGGACCTGGAACCAATACCTCAAGGATACTGAGGTACAACAATAGTGTGCTTCTGTGTTCTATTATTTGGAACACATCCTCAACCCAAGACATTCTTGAGCACTCATCTCATATTTAGCTATTAGGATGCCAGATGTTTGGGCCAAACCCCAGAGCCTGCAGTGTACCACATTTTAATGATTTGTGGTGAATAAAGTAAATGTTTAAAAACCAGATTTTATGAAGTAGAGACCCGGTTAAGTATGATGGATAGGAGAAAAAGCCAAGAGGAAGCTGAATGTTAATGGGGGTATCCTTGGCAATATACGACAAGGGTTACCATCTATCATTCATGCCTAAAATTTTAAGTCCTGCTTGAAAAGGCAGTAGTTAAAGAACCATCCCTAAATAAGACCTGAATTTGTCAGTAGACATGCTAAGTGGAAAGGAGAATCACAGGAAACCTCAACCTTAGACAAAGAACTATAGGCAACTAGGGAATCCTGAGAGTGGAAGAAATAATCTTCCACAGGCAAGAGAGCACTAACTGATTATCTAGCACTGAATGATCAGCTCTGAAAACATGGATACAAGTAGCATTATATGTACTAGCAGACTGTATTAATGAATTCAGGAATAAACACACACACAGAGAGAGAAAGAGAGAGACACAGAGAGAGAGAGAGTTTGACTTCTTCAGCTGTAAGAAGGGAGAGCAAGAGGTATGTATATATGGGAAGAGTTGGAAGAAGCAAAGAGAAACAGATGATTTAATCATATTTTAATTTTAAAAAGTCATAATTATAAAAGAAAACCATGTTCTAAGGAATATAAAGTAGGGAGAGATTCCCCTGCATTCCTTGTTTCTCTGCAAGACCTTTCTAGGAGGAAGTAGAAGGATTGAGCTATTAGAGAATTCTGAGCCCTTGTGCCTCTGTGATCACATCATGGGCCTAACACACAGGCCCATAAATAAACGTTGTTTATACTTTGAAGCCCATGGAAAGACAAGAAACTTACTTTATTAATTATACAATGTTTATTTTTATATGTTATGTGTATTGTGTATAAATGTTTTGCGTGTCGGTGTACCACTTGCATGCCTGATGCCTGTGAAGGTCAGAAGAAGGCATCTGATGCCCTAGAACTAGGGTTACAGACAGTTGTGAGCTACCATGTAGGCATGAGGAATTGAGCCTGGGTCTTCTGGAAGAGAAGACATGTTCATAACTTCTGAGTCATCTTTCTACCTCCCCATAGTACTTTCTTAAAAGGCCATTATAGAGGAGAATCCAGTTGGGGAAAAGCGAGATATTTAGTGGTTTTGTTATTGTTTTCTGTCTTAGCTTGTTAGCAATAACAATAAGGTAAGACTGTGTTGAGCTAACATTTTAATGAACCCTGCTTTTTTCTTCTTCCACAGGGCAACCCTTACATGTGCAATAATGAGTGTGATGCGAGTACCCCTGAACTGGCACATCCTCCTGAGCTGATGTTTGATTTTGAAGGAAGACACCCCTCTACATTTTGGCAGTCTGCTACTTGGAAGGAGTATCCCAAGCCTCTCCAGGTTAACATCACTTTGTCTTGGAGCAAAACCATTGAGCTCACAGACAACATAGTTATTACATTTGAATCAGGGCGTCCAGACCAAATGATCCTGGAGAAATCTCTCGATTACGGGCGAACATGGCAGCCCTATCAGTATTATGCCACAGACTGCCTAGACGCTTTTCACATGGACCCAAAATCCGTGAAGGATTTATCACAGCACTCGGTCTTAGAGATCATTTGCACTGAAGAGTACTCCACCGGGTACTCCACAAATAGCAAAATAATTCACTTCGAGATCAAAGACAGATTTGCATTTTTTGCTGGACCTCGGCTACGAAATATGGCTTCCCTCTATGGACAGCTAGATACAACCAAGAAACTCAGAGATTTCTTCACAGTCACAGACCTGAGGATCAGGCTACTGAGACCTGCCGTTGGGGAAATATTTGTAGATGAACTACATTTGGCACGTTACTTTTATGCTATCTCAGACATAAAGGTGCGAGGAAGGTAAGCGAACCTCTGTTCGTCTTGAATGGAAACAAATGTGTTCAAAAAAAATATGCCCACAGTTGGTGACTTTGATCAATTTTTATTTCATTATTTTCCAAGGAATATATGTGCAAGGAGGTTCTAAAGGCATCTGAGGCCTTTTGGCTCAATAATGATTTATAAACCCGCATTGGCTTTCAATCTTCAGGCATCTTTAGAATTTAAGTAAAAGAAAACATCAGTATCTTTTCTGAAGCACAGGCACTTCCTAGGTGAGGGGAGGCTAACGTTATGTTATCAACATAGTAAAGCTAGTTGCTCTGTTAGAGGAACGAGGAGAAACAAGGTTATGGCTTGCATTTCCCAATGCAAGTGAGAGTCACCATGCATCTGAGAAATAAAATGAATTTCTTTAAGAGTTGTAAGCTTCCCTTTTTTAAAGGTCATGGACACTTTTGTATTAACACAATATTTTATATGTAAAACATTGCCTGGGGACACTTCACTTTGTAGGTAAAGTACAGATGGACAAGACATATAACATCAGTGGTTATGATGAGGGAACTTTGTTTTAATACTATACCGTAACTACAATTGAGTTATAAAGAATTTTGAAGATGTTTGAATGAGAAACTACAATAGCAAGAACAAAAATTACCAACATAGAGATTTTCATTCAGCAAGGCATGATGGGAATGGAAACATGAGACAGTGGGCAGAAAAAAAGCAAAGAGACAGTCATTCTTAAAATGTGAAAATATATGAAGATAACTGCAAATGGTACATCTGACATATTGCACTAGATAAACATAAATTTAAACAGATAAGTCAGGCTCCATTGACATGGTTCGATTTCTGATTCTTTTGAGTCTACCCAGTCCTCAGAAACTGGAGGTGCTAGAACTCTGGTCCTTCAGGAATTTGCCTGCCACATGTGAATAAATAAGTGTTTGCTACTGCTAAGATAAGCGTAATAGTAAGAACAAAAGAAAGGTGGTAAGAACAAAGGAAAGGTACTTAGAGTGGCATCTAAAGTTTTAGGATGTTAACAATACAAAAATAGAATGAGTTTGGGGCTATCTGCGGTGCATGACCAGTGAAAGATCTTTAGCTAGCTCCTGGGAAGGGGTCAAGACCATGTTGGGGAAACCCACATTAACAGCTGACCTGAGCAAATGGGAACTCATGGACTCCTGGGGAACCTGCATAAGGCCAAACTAGGGCCCCTGAATATATGAGTCAGTTGAAGGGCTTGGGTAGTCTATGGGGCTGCTGGCAGTGTAACCAGTATTTATCCCTAGTGCATGAACTGGCTTTTGGAGCCCATTCCTTACAGAGGAATACTGTCTCATCTTAATTACAGGGTGAAGGGAGCTCGGTCCTGTCCCAAATGATGTGGCATACTTTGATGATCCCCCATGGGAGGCATCACCCTCTCTGAGGAGTGAATAGGGGTAGGGGGAGATGGTGTGTGAAGAAAAGAGAGGGAATTGGGGTTGGTATGTAAAATAAGATTGTTTTTAATTTAAATAAAAATTTAATTAAATAAAAAAAAAAATCTTAGCTACTGACCTGACCTTATTGTCAACTTTTAACCAAGGTCTTGTGAGAGATGATGACAACATCTTGAAAACAAATTAGTATATATACATATATATTTGGCTTTTCAAGACAGGGTTTCTCTGTTTAGCTTTGGAGCCTATCCTGGCACTCACTGTGTAGCCCAGGCTGGCCTCAAACTCACAAAGATCTGCCTGCCTCTGTCCCTCAAGTGCTGGGATTAAAGGCGTGCGCCACCATCATTGCCTGGCACAAATTAGAATTTTTGAGAGATTTGTGCCCTAGTGTATCAATACCCATGGTGAGCTTGAGACCTCTTACTGTTTAGAGAAGAGTGCATGGCTTAGCAGAAAACTATGAATGGGCAAAGGGAAGTTGTCTTATCAGACTTGAGTATGTGCTGTACTAAAATGTTTCATCATATTCAGGAACATTTTAGCAAAATACTATCAGTTTAAAATGTCACCTTCTTCATTCTAAAAAGCATATACTCTACAAAAATATTTGAAAAAATATTTGATATTTTTAACAGCATCATACCAAAATCAAATGACAAATATCCAATATGGCTGAAAGAATAAAGCTCTAACCCAATAAGCTGAGCATTGTGTGGTTTTGTAATATTAAATTTGGGTAGGTCAGTTTCTGGCAGTGTGAGAACTCCTTAAACTGAGTTTGAGTTTCTGTAGGCCACTGCAACCAAATGCCATGACTTGGCTCTTTCAAACAGGCAACCTTCTGGAGGATTTCAGTTAGGAAATAACCACTGCTGGAGCTTATTTTTCACTGTTGGGAATTCATCTCTCTTTTCTCTGATTCTTTGAAAGAAAGTATAAAACACGATTTTGAGCTAAGGCCAGCATGCTCCATTGGAGTTACCTGGGCCATCTCCTAAAGATGGCACACCAAGAATATTGAATCCCTCCAGAGAGTTAGCAGGACCCAGATCCCAGCAAAATGGCTTCCCTGAGTCTCACCTCTTCTGCCATTCCTAGTCACCAGTTAGCTTCAAGCTACTGAGAAGCAGCTGGCAAAAGAGAAAGGGCCAGCGGAGGTGAGGCACATCCATGCAGCTCTGCTCAGTCACCTCCGCAGTCTGTCCAAACTCTTCAGGGCAAACTGATGCTGGCATGGACTGCAGTAGGCACCAGATGGCTGGAGTATTTTTAGTCCTGGGGGAGGGACTAAAGAAGCAAGGCCTGATGGCTCAGGCATGTCTCCAGCTTTCCAGTTATGTAAGGAATATTTGTTCATGGTAGAGCCATTCAATGGCAAGCTGAGTAAAGCTAGTTCATTAGGCCTTCCAACCTACAAAGTGATCATTACCATTGACAATTTCAGAATTCATTTCCTTGGTTGTTTTTTATTTAAATTACAAATCATCTGTATAAAGACTGTCAATTAGTTGGTGACCTCTATGCAAAAGTTCTTAATTTTCTAAAGTGCAAGCAAGGGTATTGTTTCCTGCACCTTGCCTTTCCGTTCTATGGTAACATAATCACAGAATCATATATGTCTATACATGTCTTTTTCTAGGAATAATAATGACATTTTTCTGTTGGTCATTTCTAATACTATCCATGCAAAATGTAGAAATTTATATAAATTGTCATATAAACTTTGTATGGAGACCAGATATAAATATTTGCAACACAGTCAAGAGAAAATATTTTTTTCCATCTTAAAATATCAAACTATGAAATGGAAATAGCTGAAGATATAATTTAAATATACATAAATAGATTTTATAATAACTAACCTAAAAGCAATGTTTTGACTATCATCAGATTAATGGATTATTTAGGCCAATGGTTCTCAACCTGTGGGTCACAATCCCCACAGGGGTTCACATATCAGATATTTACATTGTGGTCTATAACAGTATCAAAATTACAGTTTTGAAGTAGCAATGAAATAATTTTATGGCTGGTGGGTACCACATCATGAGGAACTGTTGCAAAGGGTTGCAGCAGTAGGAAGGTAGAGAACCACTGGTTTAGGCTCTTTTTAACATGGGATATATCTAGTATGTATTGAACTGATGACAAAAACTATAATATTATCATAAAATATCTCTTTTTGTTGCTACATGCTTATTTTGCTTTCACTTACCTCTTGAGCATTTATCAAGATAAATAGGAAGCAATGCTATTGGCAATCTCAGTAACTCCATAGCACTTACATTGTTCAATAAACCTAATAATCTTCATGGACTAATTCTGACTTATAGCTGTCCTGCCTCAGTAAATCAGGGTGATTTTCTCTAGTGAATAATAGAGAAATGCACTGTGCCAGTACCTTAATTAAAGAGCCACTCTCTTAGTCTTGATCTCATTTTAATTTACAGGGTAATACTACAATAATATCACTAATGGAAGGTACATTAAAGGGCATCAAGTAGCATTAACTGTATTAAATTATGGTACTTGTGTTAATTAACTGCTGAAGCAAGATGGTTCTAATGGCCAAAGGTTCGTCTAGTGCATAAATAAAATGTACCCAGATGAAAGGTGAGAAGAGAAATGAAGAGTACATGTTTGTTCTGAACATTTTTTCCCCATACAGACAGGAGGTTAAATTCAAAAGTCATTAAATATATAATGTCCAAAAGGGTTCTTAGTTGCATAGTGAGAGGTTTGGATTTTCAAGTACCATGTTTCCTTCTAAGCTTTCTTTCCACAATGAAAGCCTGAATATTCGTCAGATGCACAGGTTTTATCAGAATATAAAGGTTTTATCAGAATATAAACTCAACACCCTTTTTTGTTTCTCTGAGGTAAGATTGAGGAAGTAGTGTGATTTATTATAATATGTTAAAAAAAAACTCTGAAAGATAAATGAGCATGTGGTAATAAGCCCATTTGTTTTTGAGATGTATTATCAGCAATGTATCAAACTATTAGCTTTAGACATTGGATAATAGAATTTCTCCTCTAACAACATAAACAGGAAGGTAGAATTGAAAGAAATATTCAGATCTGATCAACATCTCAATTGCTTGTCTTTTACAGTACATTCTTAAAGGTAATTCATGCCTTTTCAATAGTATTAATTCATTTCTTATCCCATGAATAGCCTACTCTGCTTTCTTTACTGTAGGCTGTCAAAGTAACAAATAGTCTACAGTTTAGCTTATCCAGAGCTTAGCTTTCTAAAGTTTTCATTGAGTCAAACTCGAAGATGTTAGATAGAAAATTCCAGAAATAAGTAATTAATAAGTTTTAAGTGAATTTTGTTTCACAATATGGTTACAATTGTATTTACTGTGGATTACAATTGCTAGAGACTGTGACATATTTTTAACTTAAACTTATGGGTTTGTACACATAAGAGACAAACATAGTAATATAGGACTCAGTGCTCTCATTTTAGACACCCCTTGGGTGTTTTGAAATATAATTGTGCCCCAACTATGGAAATCAACTTAAATTTATTTATTGTTTATTTACTTCTTTTCT